CGAATTTATGTCAATTTATGTTCTTACAAGCTTGATTGTCCAAGTCCTGTGTTTTAAGCCTGCATACCCTCCGGCCCACAGGCCGACATCGAAAAGCTCAAAGTTTTCAAGTTGCATGGTCCTCTATATTATATCCTAAAAAACTGAATGTCCGTCCATGCTGTAGCTTGTTGTTTGAATGATCCGTGCTTGAAGCTTGGCTCAGGTCCCTGGTCGCCCAGAAGACCCTGCTGTGCCTCGGCGCCCCGGAAGGCCAACCACGGTGGTCGTGGTGGGAGATGTCGGGGAAGTGCGATTCAATTCAGAACAAAAGAATTATGTGGCGGTGTGCAAAATACGTTCGCACAATCAGGCAGGTGAGGCAGAATGCCGAAAGACCCGTACAGTGAATGCTGGCCGGAATGCCTTTAACCCTGGACAGGGACGTCCCCTAGGGCTCCTGGTGGGGTGGTTGAGGTGTGCTTCTCTTCACGATACCGGGGAAGGTCACAAGAAAGCAGTATCCAGGCTGACCAAGGCAGATCGTTTGGAGGCGAGGAAATTTTTTTACGAACAATGCGAAGGTGGTCGTTCCATTGCTTCTCACGAACGTGAGAAGAGAGAAGGCGAGGATTCGGAGCCGGAGATCATCAAATGAATGATCTTTTCCACCGGCTTGCACAAACGTCCGCCTGCCTGTGGCTTGCAAAAAGAACGAGCCTTCTTGTTGCCTCACTCCTCGGGCCCTGGACCCCAGAAGAAACACTTCAGGTAATTCAACTGTACTGCCGACATCGTCTGCAGTATTGATGGACCGACTTGTTGTAAAGCAGAACATGCTATCTTAGCCGTGTTTGGAAGCTTCACTGTTCAGTTGGGCTGGGCCGAGCCACATGAGATGAAAGAGTGCATGAGCCGATGAGCCCCTGATTGAACTTGAAACCCGAAGCCCCGAACACACTTGAACCCGAAGGTGACAAACATCCGGCCCGAGCACAACCCGAAACTTTGGCCCTTGACACGAAAATAGGAAAGGTTGGGTTACACGGTTACAGTACTGTGTCCATGAGGGGAAAAATCCAAGGTCAGCATGATGTGTAGCAGTAGCACTTCCAGTTGGTTGCTCCAGGATTTACTTGGTCTTCTTGCACAAGAAGTACTACTCCGAGGATGATGCCAAGAAGCTGCGCAAGCTTTACCAGGATTCCGTTGGCCTCATTTTGGGTGTGTTCATGCTTGGATGTCCTAGCCGCTGAAGTCTTTTCAGGACTTCGTCACCCGCTTGAAGATGAAGTCCCCCACCGACATTTCGCAGCTTCTCCTCCCGTTGGACAGTTCCGAGCGGGTGTCTGCGTTGGAGAAGTTGGATGCTCGAGACACTCGTTCCACAATATGAAACAAACATGTAAGACCATGTCCTTCGGCTTGTTGAGTCCCGCAGGAATGATGGGCACTGCGGCTGAAGGGGTTCTCAGGTCCAGAGGTGTTCGGTCAGAAGCCATCCATTGCTGTTAAGTTGTTGTGCCAGTTTTCCGGAAGCAAATGCCAGTTGCACAGTCGCATTTCAAGACGAATGAAACACAACCAAAGACACGAAATACGTTCACTCCACTCCTTTCCGTTTACCTACCGTTGTATGCTCGAATTCCATTCCCAAGCAGCCTAAGGTCCAAATGCAGGGTGGGTCGCAGCAGGCTTGCTTTTTTTTGGTGGCTTGCATCGGTGTCCCTTTTTTGCTCCGATGTCCGTTGCAATTTTGCTTCTTTTGGAACCGAAACATATGGCCAATTGTTTTTCTATTTTTTCCCTTTGTCGAAGCTGTCGATGCAAATGAAGACAGATTGCTAATTTTGCAGTGTTTTCCAATATTAACAGAGGAACAGTACACAGAAACTTAGTGCTTTCCAATATTTTCCTAATTTTCAGCTAAAAACTAGAGACAAAATAGGAAAAAATAGGAAAATACGGAAAACACTAGGAACGTCATTGAAATTTAGCGAAAATCTACTATTTTTCTTTTTTTTCCTATTTTTTTCTCTATTTTTTCTCTAATTTTTAGCTAAAAATTAGAGAAAAAATAGGAAAAAAAAGAGAAAAATAAGCAAAACAATAGAAAAAGCAATGAAATTCAGCGAAAATGAAGAATTTTGTAGTGTTTTGTATTATTTTTGCATTTTTCTTCAATTTTTAGCTCAAAATTAGAGGAAAAATAGGAAAAAAAAGAGAAAAATAAGCAAAGCAATAGAAAAAGCAATGAAATTCAGCGAAAATGAAGAATTTTGCAGTGTTTTGTATTATTTTCGTATTTTTTCTTCAATTTTGAGGTAAAAAATATAGGAAAAATGAGGAAAAGCTCACGACATCAATGACACCCATAGTAATTAGAACATTTTGCAGTGGGTTCCATCATTTTCCTAATTTATTCCGGCAAAATTAGGCAACACTTGAGAATCACGTGCAAAAAAATGTTGATTTATTAGGTGAAAAAAGCAACCAAAAAGGAATGCCAAGAAGCATTGAAAAAGCAGCGAAAAAACGGGCACCGGGCCAAGGCGAAAACAAATTGCACCACAGGAATTGGAGATGGAGCTACGTCGGCTATGTTACAAAGCAAAACACCGATCCCTCACGAGATCCCGAAATCGATTGAGAGTGGTGCAGATGCAAAGGCTGGAGATTGGCTTTGAGATGAACATTTCGAGCTTTTTGGTTGGTTGCAAGAATGAGAATTCGAAAGCTAGGGCTTTTGAGATGTAGGTTTTGAGCTTTTCGGATGGTTGCAAGAATGAGAATTGGAAACCAACGGCTTTGAGATGTAGGTTTTGAGCTTGTCGGTTGGTTGCACGAATGAGAATTCGAGTGCCAGGGCTTTGAGATGTAGGTTTTGAGTTTGTCGGTTGGTTGCAAGAATGAAGACGTGGAAACCAAGGGCTTTGAGATGTGGGTTTTGAACTTTTTGCTTGGTTGCAAGAATGAGAATCGGAAAGCTATGCGGGCTTTGAGATGGATGTTTTGAAATGAGAATTGGAAACCAAGGGCTTTGAGATGTACGGTTTAAGCTTTTTGGTTGGTTGCAAGAATGAGAATTCGAAAGCGAGGGCTTTGAGATGTAGGTTTTGAGCTTTTCGGTTGGTTGAAGAATGAGAATTCGAGTGCCAAGGGCTTTGAGATGTAGGTTTTGAGCCTTTGGCCTTTGGGTGGGTTGCAAGAATGTGAATCGGAAGGCCATGCAGGGCTTTGAGATGTATGTTTTGAGCATTTCGGTTGGTTGCAAGAAGTGCCAGCGCTTTGAGATGTAGGTTTTGAGCTTTTGGGTTGGTTGCACGAATCAGAATTGGAAGGCAAGGCTTTGAAATGTAGGTTTTGAGCTTTTTTGTCGGTTGCTAGAATAAGAATTCGATTGCCAGGGCTTTGAGATCGAAACACCTCGGCGTACAGACAGTTCTCGTCTCGTGCAGCATCCTGGCCGGGGCCATAGCTAAGGAATGCCGGGCTGCCGATCCGAATGCGGACTTCGTTTGGAAGACGGAGAGCCGAGACCTCCGGAAGAGTTTGGGGGTGGACGACTTGTGCCGGCCATGGACGGGTAGGCCGGAATACAGGGGTCTCGGTGTGCCGAAGAGCGAGAGGATGCGGGAGGTTCTAGATCTTTTCGTGATCAAAAAATGCAAAGAAATGCACATCAGCATGGATGCTGACTTGAGCAACGTGCTGAGAGACCAGTACTTGGATCTGTCCCAGTCGGTGAGCAGGAATGCTCACACCAACAAGTTTGGGATCAGTCACTGCTTGAGCACGAGCAGTTTGATTTATTCTTTTGCGAGGGACTCCGTCCTAACGGGCAGAGAGCTCATGCTGATTCAGGGGCAGCCGAAAACTTTGTCCCTTCCCGATCTGTCCGAGTCTGTGATTGGCCAGCTTGCGGGCGAAGGAATGGCCTTGCCCTGCCTGGCATCTGTCATCTGGTGCATTTACTTGACAAAGCAATTTCCAATGGATCCTCTGTTGCAGTGACTGCGTGCAGCAGTGAAGGCCATGCTCTTGAAGGCCGACTGTGGCCAGGTTTTCTTGGCCTTGCACCCTATGGCCTGCAGGTCCAAAGCAAAGATGCTTGGGGTAGTCTGTGTTATTCCAATCATAAAGGTTGCCCGCTTGCTTCAAGACATGCATGTTCGTTTCAAGTAGGGCTGGCAGGCTTGGGGTGGAGACGCTGGCAATTTAGCTGGGTTACCAGTCCAGCTGGAAAGCCTTGCAGCGCTCAGTAGTATAGGTACAGTAGTATAGGAGCTGTCCACACACATTCCTTGAGAGACTCGTGTGAGAATGAGTTTCCTGTGGTAGACTGGTAGACATGGGACATAGGCCTACAGTGCACAGGCATTCTCTGGCGAAAACAGTGCATGTTTGTGTTCGTCGTGCGACTGTCAGACCCAGACTTGGGAGCAGGCTTGACTGTTGTGCACTTCTGCTGATTTCGACCTGGATGCAGAAGTTTTTCTATCAGATCCTGGGGTCTGGGGCCTTCGTTTGCTCATTTGCTTTCTCCGTCATGGCCGGACGAGGGAGGAAAACCCCACAAAAGCCTTTCAGCAAGGACTCCCCAATAAGAAGGTTTACAAATAGCATGGGACCCACCTGTAGCCAATTGGTTTGATTGATGCGATGGTTCAGCTCAATTTGGAAAACTGCGAACTGGTTCATCCTTGGTTTCATTCTCTCGGCAGGACGAAGATGGTCTGGACGCACTGAGTGTGGGCTCCAAGCCTGAGTCCAGCAGGGCATCGAAGCGTCTGAAGCGGAATCTTCAGATTTGCTATGTGTGTGGCACAACGTCCGAGGACTTTGGGTGAACTGATCACTGTAGCAGTAGCAGGCTGTAGCAGCGTGCATGTCTCTGAGACTGAGACAGATTCCCAATTAGAATCCCACTGGCAGTGCTAAGGGCTGGTTCTAGAGGTAGAGCAGTCTGCGATTGCATTCATTCTTGCAGCGTGTCTGACTGTTACTCGAAGGAGAGTGTCATGGCGACCACCGACGGGACTGGGGCCAAGGTGACGGATGCGTGCTATCGATGCTGCTCAACCTGGACCACTTTGTCTCCAGGGTCCCCCTGGTGTGTGTGTTGCAAAAAGCCGCTTGGATTGCACATAGTCCCGAGTCCCATAGCCATGGTCCGCTGTCCAAGACTTCATGCTTTTCTTTCTATCCTTCCTTGTGACGGATGGATATGTCAATGTCTCCCATCCAGCTTTGAATCTCCCGAGCTTCAGGATACAAGAAAGTGGCACGATGTGTCAGTGCTCTGCAAATCAACAGGATAGTACATCACATGTTTCAGCAAGTCTGGTCATGCCTTCTAGGATTGGAGTTGAAAGGTGTGTAGCGTGTTTGCAGCACCAGTGTGGGATTGCAGTTCACTTGTTGACAAGCTTCAACGATCCTTCATGTGAGAGCTGTCGCTCTTGTTTGATGCCAGCTCGCCGAATGCACAGAGGAAAGATGCGAACGAGAACGGCTGGAGAAGCGAATTCAGCCATTGCTGTGCCGTGCACTTTGGTGACGAGGAGAGCAATGTCGAGCGCCCCGCCAATGTCCTGGACAGGCAAGTGCAGGGCTACGAGAGCTACATCGAGTTTGCCCTCCTCTCCGATGCTGAGTTCCTCGAGCTTGCTGACCTGCCGGAAAAGACGAAGATATCCTCAGCTGCCCATAAGATGGTGAACCTTCCCAACTGTTTTGGTGAAGACCAAAGCTTCCGCCTCGTCTCCCTCAAGGGCATGGATCTTGGCACCATCTTTTCGGTGCAGAAGGTGAAGTTCTATTGCAATGTTGGCTTGTCCATGGATGAGCTGCTCTTGCAAGCATCACGGCAGCTGCAAGAAGACCATGCCGCACGGATCTTCGCAGCAGCCGCCAAGGAGCAAAAGGACACAGCAATGCCCTTCACCGCCGCGCAGAGGAAGAACCTTCAAGAGATCCACACTGTCGAGTCCTTGAAAGCAAAGCTTGTGAAGGATGCGGCTCGCACAGGTGCTGACCTGCTGAAACCTGTGGAGACTGATCCCCCAGAGGGTGCCTCGGACGATGACATGGAGGACGATGCAACGGTGGGGAAGAAAGCAGTTGTGAAGGGCCTCTCCAGTCGCCTGCAGAAAGCGGTGGAGGAGCAGACGATGGCGAAGGGCAAGCAGCCGAAGCGCAAGGTCGGCAAGCAGCCGGACAAGAAGCAGAAGGAGGACGATGCCGATGAGTCGGCTGCCATCGACAGCGGCTCGCTGGAGCTCCCGAGTGGGCTCGAGGAAGTTGCGGAAAGCATGCAATCGATCCCGAAATGCTTCCGATCGCTGTCCATCCCTCGCATACTTGCAGGTGAGAAACTGATGAGATCCGTGGATGCTGCCAGAAGCGTGGCGGATACACTCAAGAAGGAGAAGAACTATTCTTACCGGTTTCTCGAGCGGGTTATATCGGCTTGTGAATGTGCCAACGCTCTCTCTCAGACCTTGCCAGCTCTCTCCAGGCGGGACATCCAGCTTTCCCTCAACTCCTTGATCCAGCAAGGACACAGGATTCCGCTCGAAATGATGCTGCAGGTGAACAAGCGCATCGTTGGGTTCTTCATCGACGATTTGATGGACGTGATGAAGATGAGGAGCGATGAGAGGGCAAAGAAGCTGGAACCGCTGATGTCGCAGCTCATCGACTTCATGTGCTGTTGGAAATGTGGGCCCGACCAAAGCTGGAGCTTCACGAACCCAGGCTTTGGTGTGGTCGCTGGAGAGCTGCAAAGCACGATGTGTCGAGTGTGCTCAGCGAGGAGAAGATTGCGGAGAGGGCCCTCAAGAACGAGGCATCGACTTCATAGTCAGTGCTTTGGCATGTTGGCTTATCCTTCCAGTCACCACCGGAATTCCCGTCGCAAAAAGTCTTGCTTCCTTCAGCCTTCAGTCTTTGCATTCCGAAGCGCCGCTGAGTGGTTCAGACTTCTGTAGTGCTTGAATTGCTTGAAGGTGGCAAACATAGAATGCATAGAATTTCTGCCATAGATCCTTATTCCTCGATGAATTGCGTATTGTATTCACCGGATTTTCCTTTTTAGGGCACTGAGTCCTTCAGACTTTCCAGTTTTAAGCAGGTCCTACGGGCTTGAAGGTGCTGAGCATAGAATCCCAGAGAGAGTAAGATGTGAAGTACAATCATTGTATCATTTTGCAAGCTTCTGGCACTGAGTTGTTCAAAGATTCCGGTCAAGAAGCAGCACTGAGTCGTTGAGACTCTTGTGAGGGTCCTACTGTTTCAAGGTGCTGAGCATAGAAATCGATAGGTAAGATTTGTACAAGTGCAGCCATGTGCTCCTAAGAACATCGTCGAATGTGTAAGCCCGGAAAACATCTCCGGTAGTTATACCATTGTGTCCTGCTGCAGGAGTTTACGGACGCAGTGCTGAAGGCCTTCTGCAACAATTCCTTCATGCAGCTCTTGGACGATGAGGGCCCCCAAGCCCAAGTTCTTCAGAAGCGACTTCTGTTGCAGCTCATCTGCCAGAAGTACATTGATGAGTTCAACAAGGACAGTGTCGAAGGCTTGGAAAACGACTCTGTTCTTCCGGGGGCAAAGGAGGCCGCGATCCGCCTGAAGAACACTTTGTCCCCCCTGCTCGTTCTCTTGGATCCGGTGCCATCGCAAGACCGCCCGGACGTGTCGAGTGTGTCTGTTTTGATGGATGAGCCGAAGACGGGGTCCAAGAAGAACGACCCGAATCCTTTTCTCACTGCTGTCATCCTATGCTTGTCCACCACAGGTTGGCAGAAGATGATGGACGAAGTCCTTAAGGGTGCTCCAGGCTACTCCAAGCATGGGCAGGCCATCCAGGACTTCACAGCAGCTCTCCAGGAGGAGACCGAGATGAGCATCAGCAACTCTTTGCGACTGGCCTTGGAGAAGTTCAAAGAGTTCGACAGGGTCATGCGACCCGGATCCCTGAAGCGTCTCGAGGAGGCCATGTGCAAACGGTTGAAGGAGATCGGGGAATGGACCGTGCAGCAGTACAGTGTCGCAGGCCTTCCGGCGGACTTCGTTCAGTTCCTGCAGAAAGGGTTCTCGCTCTTCACAGGCTTTACGGACCTGGATGCCCGGGTGAGGCAATGGAGCGCGAAGATGGCCAAGGAGCTTGGGTGGAATCGGCTCAAGGATATCGTTCAGGAGCTTCAATCGACGAAGGATGCTGGTGCAAGCGTGGTAGTTCCCTTTGAAGACATCAAAGAGCTCCTGGACGGCATTGCAGACATTGCTGCATGCGAGAATGCGGAGGACACCCTCTCCAAGCTCGCACGGTTCATGTTTATGAACATGGAGGAGAAGGCGGGCTGACAGCAGCTGAAACTTGCCAATCATTGGTGCTTGGGGTTTCGGCGGCCATTGGGATTGCATCCAGCTGTAACTTATTAGGATGAGCCTCTGCCAATGTCAGCGAAGGTCGTGGTGGTGTGTATATAGCAGTAATATAGCAGTCAAGTGTAGTGATGTAGTCATGTAGCAGCATGTAGCGCAAGTTGGCAGCAAGTGTTTTGTGTTGGTGAGCAGATCTTGCTTGTTGTGCACAGTCCGGGTTTTCCTATTCCCAAACCGACGGTCAAGGTGTCCAGTCTTGATTTTGGGCTCCTTTCAGGCACGACTTGTTCGAGGGAGTGTGTACATGTTGTTCTTACACAGTGTAAAAGGATGCTTGGCTCTACATTCTATGTTGTGCCACCGGATGTAACCCCAAACAAACTCCGCATCGAAAGCAGTGCTGTGCAGAGCACGGCACTCTGCTACTGCTAGGGCGTGCGTGTTCAAGTTACAGCCTGAACCCCAACAGTTGCACTGGTGCCAATGTGTTTGTATCGGCCAGTGGCAGATGTTGTCATTATTCATTGCTGCTTGCTTACTCTGTTGAGTCTAGTGAGAGTCTAGTGAGTCTAGTGAGTCTAGTGACTCTATAGGGCCCCTAGGGCTTTACTCCAGTGCCCAGCTACTTCGTCCTCCTCAGTTGGCAAGGTCCGAGCAGGATATGACCCCACTTAGTTCGCCTCGGCTACATTTTCCTGCTACGTGTTATAATGTGGGTTTCGAACTGCTGGTCAGGCGGAGCAGCGCTTGCTGACGATGGACATCGTGGGAATGGCGGTGCGTGTGATTGACCTCGCCTTCACCAGCGAGGCGGCACAGCTTTGGGCCCAGCAGACCAAGTGGTTGAAGGATGCATTGGGGCTCCAGAAGCAGGGCGAGCGCTGGTTGAAGATGGGCAAGAGCGCAGAGGTCAGGTTCAAGAACGATGTGAAGCAGGGTGTCCTGGGCGGCTACTTGAAAGCCGCCGAATCGCTGTTCAATTCCACGCTTCAAATCCAGGAGCAGCTTGAGCAAAGCTCCGTGCAGCAGGATTTGCGGCCGCCTGTGATCTTCAGTGGCAAAGAGTCATTGGCCTTCGACCCGGAGATCTTTGAGGCAATGCCATTGCTAGCTGATATGCTGGAGAAGTCAATGGACGACAACCTCCAAAAGCTCCGGGACCTCACCTATGACAAGCATCAGGGGGAGAAGCTTTGGAAGGCTGACTTGGCCAAGGATGCGAAGGACTCGGATGTCCTCAACTGTGCCTCCGTGCAGCTCGGCTCCATGAACATGGAGCAGTTGGACTCCGTCCTCTCTTCATTGCAGGAGGTTATCTGGCCGAGTTAGAATGCTTTGAGCTTTAAGTCTTTGATTTAAGCCAAGCCTTCAGACTTCAGTCTTGTGTTTCATGCTACTTGGTGCCCAGACTACTCACCCTGCAGTGCTGCAGCCCAAGCCGTGAGCTGAAGGTTTGTTGTACAGGATGGAAGGAGTCACAGGAAGGAGATCTTCAAGATTGCATTGCAAATGCCGTTTGTTCAGCTGCACGGAGTGTAGGTAGTAGGTCGTAGTATACGTTGTCCCACGCAGATGTAGGTCGCCCCTTGTGTTATCCCCGACAGCTTGGAGTGCAGATCGTACATCGTAGGATATGTTATACCAGCTTGGATTGCAGGTCACTGCATGATGTGTTATCCCAGACGGCTTGAACTGCAACTCGTAGGACCTCGTAGGATATATTATCCCCGAGAGCTTGTAATGCACATCGTTTTACAACATGTCATCCCAGGCCATCGCTGCTATGGGCGACACCTATCGGATGGGGAAGTTCCTGGCCAAGGTCTACCCGGAGAGCCAGGGCTTCCTGGATGCCCTGAAGCTCGCACATCATCGTGGGAAATTGGAACACAAGGCGGCCAACGTGTTGAGGTGCGAAGGCCTTCTCGTGAGTGCCATGGTGGAAAAGGACCCGGCCTTGTCGCTTCGCTTGGTACGCAAAGAGACAGCAGCTTTGACCGGCAAAGCGCGAGGTGTGGCTTCGGAAGATGTTCACCCAGGCCTCTTGAGTTTGGCGCTCTCCAAGCTGCCAGGCTGAGTCATGTGATGGAACAAGTTTTCCTCCGGTCGTCTGAGCTTCATTCAAGCAGACAGCCTGCACTCGGTGATGTGGCTCTGCGCTTTTAGAGGTGTTGCTCGGCGGTTGCTGTGAAGGCTACGGCTATGGCTATGGGCTTTGACAAGTGTTTGTGGAAGTACTGCTGCGATAGGCTCCTGTGTGACCTCTCGTTGCAAGGCCCAGAGTCCAGATCATTGCTTCAACAGCGGACCAACCAGCACAACTCGACGGCTTGCTGCTTTCGTGCACACACCTGGAGGTAAAGTTTAGATCTTTTTGGCCCCTTAGGACGTGGACAGACCCCAATGCAATGCAGGACTTCAGTTTTCGCTGTCGCAGTCGTGCTGGCAAGTGTTTGTTTCTCAGACCGTGGGCATCTGTCCGCAGCGACCGTGATCCCAGCACAGACAGCTCTTTCTGCTACGATCTCGGACTGCTTTCCGATCATATCTGAAGAGGCTTCAAGCCCTTAGGACTTTTCGGAAATCTGAACAGCTCGTCAATTTCCTCTCAGTTGGAATTGCAATTCGATCAGTAGCGGGAGTGGATTAGGGGATCCTTCTTTCTGCTTGCCATTTTCTCGCTGCAACAACACAGAGGACGGTGGAAAAGCAAACTCGCGCAGAGGCTACCGTTATTTGTCAAAGAGAGACCAGCTGATTATGATTGCGAGTAGCAAAACTATAGCTTGTCGTCATCCCAGTCTCCTACGTCTCTTACTTCCACTCCTACCTATTCCTATTCACCTATTCCTGCTCTTACTCTTCGTCATGTCCTCCTACTCAGGTCCTACTCTCCTCCTGCTACTACTCAACTCCCTCCTCCTCCGCCTCCTCCTGTTGCCCCTCGCACTCCTTCCACTGCTACTATTAGTGCTACTGCTTACTACTGCTACTACTACTACTACTACTACTATTATTACTACAAGCCTGGAAGGAAGGACACAAAACAGCATTAATTCTGATCACCTTTAATCGAACACACACCTCAAGTTGCTGAGTGTCCTTTCAACCGGCTCCTACTACTACTACTACTACTCCTACTACTACTACTGCTACTACTAACTACTACTCCTGCTGCTGCTGCTACTACTACTACTACTACTTCTACTTCTGCCACAGCTACTACCACTACCACTACCACCACTACAACGACTACTAACGCCACTACTGCCACCACCACCACCCACCACCACCACCACCCACCACCACCAGCACCACCACCACAACCGCCACGGCCACCACCACATCAGGACACCCACCACCACTACCACCCCACCCCCGCCACCTCCACCGCCCCACCTCCACCACCACTGCCACCACCACCACCACCGCCACCACCACCATCACCACCACCACCACCGCCACCGCCACCGCTACCACTACTGCTACTACTACGACGATGATAATGACGACGACCGCTACCATTACCAGAAGTACTATGACTACTACTCTGCGCAACTCAACAGTCTGCCGAGACCAGAGATAACCTGTTCAGTGGCAAGTTTCGCTGTGTCGGACTGTGTAGGAGTGTAGGACCAGTGACAGGAGTTGGGTAGAACGACTTTGGCAGGCTTTGGGCTTGAACCACACATGGCATCAGGCTTTGAACGATGTTGCCCAGCCTATGCAGGCTACAAATAAAGCTTCTGTAGGACTCGAAGACTCTGGGACCTAGGCCATCGCATGGGGGACATTGTCAGGAGCATCGTGTAATTACTCGTGAAATCATAGTAGTCAGTCTCACTCGTCATGCGGTGCTCAGACATGGCAATCCTGCCAATTTTGTGCTTGCTTGTGTGGAGCAGTGCTGGGGTGAAGCGGGCGTTGGAAACAACGTGCGAGCAGGAGCCCAGGGCTCAGCATTGCTCAAGTGTTGCTGCTGTTGGCTGTTAGATTGGAGAACCAATGCACACGGAATCAAATCAGTGATGGCTGGTCCTGAAAGGCCCCCGAGAGCAGTGTCTGCACCGTGAGGAGCTAAGCCTCCGGGCTTTTGCACGCGTGCTGGAGCCAGTCGCAATCACCGCCGAGGTCTGGAATGGATGTTGCTCTGACGACGGATGCAGGTGCTTCTGACTTGTGCACCACTGGCACCAATTTTGACGACATGTGTGCCCTGAGATGGAGTAGGTCACTCGGATGCCACGGCTCAGAGCCCGGGGCTTGGGTTCTTTTGGTTTTACCGCTCTTGTAGCACACACACTTCTGGTTATGGCACAGGTCGCATGGCTATGGCGGCGGCTACAGCTTCAGGTCTTGGCCTCAAGGTTTGAGGGTTGTGGACCACGTACGAATTCAACACCTAGCGGACCTAGCGCATCAGATGGATCTGGATGGTAGGAGTGTGGGCGGTGTTCCAGCAAACCTTCTCACATGCTTTGTTTGCAACCCTAAAGCCTTAAAACTCCTTCGAATCCTAAGCCCCAAAGCCTAAGCCCTATAGGCCCCAAACCTGTCTGTGCTCACACGGAGCTTGGCACAGGTTGCAGCACAAACCCCGCAGCCGCTGGCCAAAACTCGCTTGGCACTGAGTTTCAAATTGCAGAGTGCCGGCTGCGGCTACTTGTTGCTAGTTGCTAGTTTCATTTCATCCCTCACAGGACAGCCCATGGCATGCCATCCCCAACCACTTGCGTCACTGGCCCACAGCTGAGCTGACAACAACATCCTGAGTGATGTGTTTCGGTCATTATAACGGTACCCATCTTTGGCAGGTGCTGGAACTGGAACGGCCGAGTGGACTCCCCGACCTGAGTTAATGAAGCAACTCAGAACGACCATCGCCTTGATGACGACGATAGGCCAAGTCGAGGAGTCGAGCGATTCAAGTGAAGGCGAGGAGCAGGATCAGGAGGAACAGACCACACAGGAGCAGCAAA